GCTCTGGTAAAACAAATATATAGCTGTACAATTTAGGTTGTCCTTGAAGAAAACTTTTCTTTTTTTTGGTACTGGGAATTGAACTGAGGACTTTGTGCTTGCCAGGCAGGCATTTGTGCCACTGAGCTGTAGCTCTAGCCCAAAAAGGAAATGCTTGAGAAAGCATACTATAAATAGTATTTTCATTGGCAAGAATTATAAAATTACTTCTCTCTTGGGTGGATTCAAACATAGAAATTTGTTTCCCTTAAATTAGAAGAAAGTAAGTATCTTCCTATTTACATTCGAGTTAAAATTATCCTTAGAGGAAATAGCCAGAGAGAGAACACACAGATGATCACAAGGCCTGTGCTATGTAGATTACAGGTTTTGGAGCCTTTTACTATATGAGAATGCTTATAGAGTACCTTACTCAGTTACTTTTGAGGACAAGCGGAAAGCCAACTATGAGCGAGGGAATGTGGAACTGGAGAAGCGGCGCCAGGCCCTGATGGAGCAGCAACAGCGGGAGGCAGAACGGAAAGCCCAGAAAGAAAAGGAGGAGTGGGAACGGAAGCAGAGAGAATTACAAGAACAAGAATGGAAGAAACAGCTTGAATTAGAAAAGCGCTTGGAGAAACAGAGGGAATTGGAGAGACAACGGGAGGAAGAAAGAAGAAAAGAAATAGAAAGACGAGAGGTTATTATCTTATTTCCTAAAAACATCATTCATTTAATAAATTCCTACATATTAACTTAATTAAAACATACTTATTTTTAAATTTGTGTTGTACCTTTCCTTTGGCATCATTTCATTCTTACTTAGGAAGCTGAATCTGCCTTCCCTTGAGGAGGAAGGGAGGGTCCTGCATGTAAGAGCTTTTCAGAGCTGGGAGGTAGTAGAGGGCATCTCTGCGTGTAGGTGATACCTCAGTCAAAGGACTCAGTGCACAACTGAGTTGATTGAGGTGTGAGGATTAGTTGGCCAGTGAAGAGCCAGGCTGAGAAAGCTCCAGATTCAGATTAGGAGTCTAAGGAATTGGAAGGGCAAAAAGATAAGTGTGGAAAGCCGAAGGTCTAGCTAGAGAGGAACCAAGAGGGCAGACTTATGCAAGCACTGGACACAGTGTTCAGTGGGGTTCTAAAAGGGGCTGACATGGGTCCGGGGTGAACCACAGTTGAATTATAGTGCCCTGAAAAAGTGTTTTTCTCCCCTGGTACCAGAAGAAAGGTGTGACTTACTCTTAACATTCATATTTATGAAATCATCCCTTTGCCTACTAAAAGAAAATGTAACAAAAGGGTGGTCCTGTGAAGCAACCAAAAAGTAACAAGTAAAGAAAGCCACATTTTTGGAAGTCTTCAGACCCATTGATAAAACTTAAATTTGCCCACCTACCTTTTAGCACCAGGGTCCACTGAGTGCTAAACATTGTCATCCCTTTAGTTTTTGAATAATTCCTAATTTCATTTTTTTTAAATTTATTTTTATTGAGAAATAAATATGAATGAGACAGTTTCACAGCTGATTAATAGGACAGTTTTGATAATCAACACACTGTACATTGTTATCTTCTTAGTGGTTATCCATAGTACAAGAAGCAGACAGGATATCCTGTTCAAACACTGTTAGTACACCTCTTTCTTCTCATTGAATTAAGAGAAAGTAGCTTTAAATTTATCCTATTTTGTATATATAAATACAAAATGATCTTTCCTTTGTATCTTTTTTTTTAATTTTAATTTTTTTTTGGTCCTGTCAGAGGTGAATATTCTATTGGCATCTAAATACTATAGGTGTTTGAATTCAACTAAACAATCTAACACTGTCTAGCAGTCTATAATA